TTAGAGTACGCACAAATTAAAAATTATATTGTAAATCTATCTACTTAGTGGCTTAGATTAGTTTTCTCTTTTTTTACTCTTTTTTCCTTAAAAATATTAAACATATAATTGCTATATTTAAAAAAAGAATAAAAGTTAAAAGTAAAAGAATGTAATTTAATGTAAAATTCAAAACTTAATATAGCTTCAATCTTGTGTATTGAGCATCTACACAGTTCCTTTTTTTAGAAGCGATTTCATCCAGCTATGCATATAGCAATAAGTATTCCATTTATACGAATGAAATATTCCGTCTGCTAATCGATTTTTCTACGAACCGGCGTCAAGTGATTCACCATCGTTGCTCTTATCACGAACTTTTATCCCCAATTTAATTGCGGGCCGGTCGCGACAAAGAATCACCAACAAAGAACGGGACATATGAATTATGAATCATGCTTGCTGACACGAGGGCTATCGTTAATGTATTAGAATAAAAAAGAAGAGCAAGAGAAAGAGAGAGAGAGAGAGAGAGAGAAAAGAAAAGACGCAACCATAGCTTTACGGCGAACCTTAGATTACGCGGTGAGAAAAGCTGGAAAATTCAATACCGCGCAAGTTTATATGTATCTACGAGCACGTCTCTCACACACGGCTTGAGAATATTAAAAACGAGGGCTTTTTATTAAGGCGCTTTTATGACCGGAAGCGAGCACCTTTTTGCCACTTACATGCCCTCGGTATAAGAGTAAGCACTCGGTTTGCAATTCTAAAGAAAAGAGAGAAGGGAAGAAAAAGAAAAAGAGAATCGTGCTAAAAGAATTTGTGCAAAAAATGAAAATGTACAAGATACACAAAAAACAATAATTGTAGATATAAATATATAAATATATAATAAGAAGTAAAATTGTTTCTCGAAAATTGTGTGTTATCTCATAACGTAATGTAGAGCTTTAAATACAATTTAAAAAATATAATCATTAACGTTTACAAAAATCGCTAAAGTATTGTAATTTTTATAAATATTTTTCAGAACTTTTTATTTTAATAATTTATTATTTATATTGAATGCAAAACACTTCTTGTACTTCATGACCAACAGTTAGTATTACCGATGGTTAATAAACATAGAAAATATTTCGAACGTTAAACTACATAAAAATGTATAATTTAAATAAATACATTTCCTCTCTCATGTACATAACATTGTAAAATTATTGTTACGAAACATTAAAATTTTTATAAAAACGTGTTTCCATAAAATTTTCATTCACCATCGGTAATTGAAAATTTACAGAATCGTCAATAACAATTTCGATATTATAAAAAATATTATAAATAATTATAAGTTACTCTTAAAAATAAAAATTGTACTATGTCAATATATGTCAGATTCCTCTGATAAATATCAAGCGATAGATGAGACATGAGGAAAAGAAAAGATGGTCGTCGACCATTGAAATATACCAAAAATTTATTTACATAAAAACATGAATATAATACCTATAATATTTCAACTGCTGCGCATTTCTTTGTTCGCTCGGTACGCGTTATACCTAAATAACTGGCGTCGGGTCACGAAATAATGTCAGTATTGTCACAATTTTTTTAAACACACCTGCACAGAGTGTATCCGAAACAACCTGCAATACGACCTAAAGTCTAATTATTAAGCTACATCGAATCGATCTGATAGCGATGCGAACGCAGCGTCCGAGGTATCTTGTCCTCGCGATAACTGACCGAAGCGATTTTCTCGAGCCGAAACAATTGATTAAATCAAACGAAACGCAGTAAAGTCTTCGCAAGATTCATACACCTTCCAAAGTCTTCGAAGGCTTACTCTTGTCTTTCTCACTTCACCTCTTCCGCGCAAACAACATAAACACATTTGTATCATTGTTCGGCCGCGCGACATCACCGACGATAATTTTTCCTTGTGGTACCATTCGTTACAATATTTACAGAATTATACGAACAACTTAGAGTATACAATTCAAAAGGGCCGGCTCAAAAAGCTCTTTTCTATCTTCATACAAATATCCTTCAATGCGCGAGAAAAAAAACATATTTTTCTTATTTCTAAACCTATTCACGAAAATTATTATAAGAGAAGAAACGAATTTTACAATGAACTTTGTTCCATTTATTCTTAACTTCGCAGACTTCGACTTAACAATTGATTACTTCTAATTATAAGCCGGCCCCCGATACAATAATTAAAATGTTACAATTTCTGTTAGTAACCAATAATCATTCTTATCCTTTCTCGACTTCGTTCCTATAGATTCTATTACCAATTGCACTAATCTCAACGCGAAAGCTTTAATCCAATTATTCACTGGAAATGGACGGTCGATCAACTCATCCATCCCACGAAAATCAAGCGATGGGCAGCACGCGTACATCGAATACTAAAGCTACCTACACAGATTGCCTGGAGTGTTCAGCTCGGCGAAAGTTTCTTAAGAAGTACGGATACAAAAGAAGTTTTCATCTCGGCACGCGCCAGCATTCCCAACGAGTCCCGTACCAGTCCCTTTCAGTTTACTTGGAATAAGTCTGCGACGTGATGGTGCAGCAAATTCGTGGAAACTTATTTTTTATGTAAAAAAAAAATACAAAATTCCATCAAAATAGAAAATAAAGTTATGTTAGAGAGCCAATAAATCGCATAGTAAGTAAGTCCATTTCAAATTATGATGGAAATAAAATTAAAACTAAAAAACAAAATAGGAAGTTAATTAATATAAAATGTACATTTAATGTGGAAATGTTTTCGACAAACCGTTTTAAGAATAAGATTTCGCGAGTCGCATTCTAAGTGCAGAGGCACTGATACTCGTGCTCGCGGGAAATATATTTTAGAAATTCGTATGAAAAGGATCATTAGTCTCTGTAAAGTCGATATATTAGTCTCAAAAATGCATTTATATTATTGGTTCAGTTTGATTAAACCGCGCGTAAGGCGGGGATATAGTTAAATCGACATCGACGGTTCCACTTTAAGTTAGTCTTTAGTTATTATTATTAAGTAATTCGATTGTGTTACAGTACGCAGGTTCGTGCTCGCTTTTGGCGCTCGCTCGAGGGAGCACGTCCGGTGCGAGATCGTGCGGATCTCCTTGAAAATTGAGAAAATTTTCGCGCACAGGCACGGCGTGAAAATCGTAAAAATTGTATTTAAAAACGACACGAATCCATTATAAAACTGGAAAATTCTCACGCACAGACACACACGGCATTAAAAAAAAAATGGAGAAATTCTCGCACGTAGGCGTGAATACTCCTTTTAGAAAATTGAAAATGTTGACGAATAAAAGTGATGTGTCGACTGAAGGCAGATCGACAAGTCACTTGTAATAGTATCCCGCACACACGCAGTATGAATTTTAGAAAAATGATGTGATTATCGTGGATATGATCTTCTCGGAAATATCGAAGGATGAAAAATTAGAAATGATTTGTCGGCTCGAAAACTGGTCGAAAAAATACTCGTAATAGTGAGCCTTGTAGTTTTCTATCCATATACTTGCGTATAACTACGGCGAAATATTTCTGTATCAAAATTTGTGATCTTACAAAATACTTTCTACGGATTGAATATCGCACGAACGGGCTATCTCGAGCGGCTACCAACTTCGTATATAAAAATTTGACGATACAGATGCTCTGTAAATTCGAAGAGTCATTAACTTTCACATGTAAGTCATGCAAACGCGATACAAATCGAGATATAAAACTACATCAGCTACGCGACCTTGAAAAGGCTCGGCTAATCGTTGCTGAAGATTCCATTGGTGATCACAAACAGGAAGCTACGCACGATATTGTTCCTCATCATTGGCTAGCGCGACGATCTTCGCGATCATTCGACGCATATTGCGCTTTCTCTCCGGTCGGCGACGTGAGACAGTTGCACGTACCTGGATCGCATTTTTCTTCGTCTAATTCTAAGAATCGGATACTTGAAACAAGAGAAGGAGTTAGTTAAATCGTCAAGATAAACGTGTCCAACGAATACAGATAATTAGCACGTTCGCGTGATCCTCTTAGTAACTTTATTTAAAGTATCCAAAAAAGTTATTATCTATCTAGCCTCCAGAGTTAACCAATTCATCGGAGACTCACGAGAATTTCAACATTCTCATTTGATCCGTCTGGCTGTCAGAATGACATCGTCAGTTTTTCTCCGTTATCAAACGAAAAAGAAACGGAAAATGGCAAAAACGAGATCTCGCGTCCTCGTGTTACAAGGTGTCACGCGCAGTCCGCTCCGACGACGAGCGAAAAAAGTTATATTGTCACGTAGTTCTATTCGATACAATCAATGAACATACGGACAACTGTAAATTCCGTCATTGTGTTTCACATCGTGAAGCGTGCTCCGATTGTATAATACAACTACACATACAGCATCCAAGTTGATATAGCAATGTAAACGCGCGTACATACTCAATTTATATACATATATGTATACCTATGCACAAGGATGTGATCGCAAAAGACGCTCTAGTCGCATAGAAGATGTCCGATAAAGTTGTCTTCTTCACTGTTGAAACACGTGCGCTGCGAAAAGGTGGGTCGCTTCCAATTCGAGCTGAGATCAATTTCGCTTCGCGGCGACTTTCTCGGCATTTCTTCGAGCGCTGCGATTTACGCATTACAGAACATGCGTTCCTTTTGTTATCATACTCTTTGAGAGTATAGTCCGAATCATCAAGCTTTTTATTTCGAAAAATTTAAGAAGTAAGCGAAAACTTGAGATAAAATATATATAGTATGTTACATACATTTATTACCATTTTTATCATTAGAATATATGTTGTAAAATATTTTCGCGATACTTTCGAAGTAATATTCTCTCGAAGTAAATGCCAAATGAATCATTTTTTAATTAAGTGTCGGATTTATAAAATTATTAAAATATTAAAAATTATATTCAAAGATGTTAATGATTATTCTTGACCAATTATTTCATTGAATCAAATTTGAGAAAACTTCAACAGATTATATTCGTATATATATATATATTTTTATTTTATATCACATCCAAGTATATTTGAGAAAATCGCAGACGAGGCAGTTAGCGGTTATAAAATTTGCGTACAAACAGAACTCTTTATTCTGCATAAAATCGTCAGTTAGTCTCTACGTCTTGCCTAAAAAAATCGTGTGTTTTGTCGCGTTGCTTCTTATCGTCTCCTCTTCTTCCTCATGCAATCTTTAGATCGCGAAAACATGGGCGTAATGCTTAAGATTTATATCACATCCTTCGTATGTGCGGCAGTGTTCCATATGTATTGATCGGCCATAACGCCATCGAATCTCTGTCGCGGGCTCGAATTCAGTTCAGTTCGTTGCTCGATTCAAAAGAGCATCATTCATCTTCTGGTTCAGCTCCAAGCGGCAGTTGCTTTACGCGGGTCAAGGAGAACTTCTGGTAAGGACGGTTCATCGACATTCATTCTCTTGCACTTGTAATTTGTCATGATAATCTCTAATTTTTCGTAATTTCATTGTTGATAATTTGAGCGATTCTTTCTCATTGATATCCATATAGATAAATTATGTCAATTCAATTCTACAGAACCGTTTAGAATTGAATTAACGAATATTCTCTTTTTAACGTGCCACGTGTCCAAACAATTTCTTCTCTCTCGATTTCTCATTCGACTCTCGAAATCCAGCACAGAGTCCGGCAACGAAACCATACAGTTTATTTTTTCCTGAAGAAGCATATCTTCCAAAGTTTTTTCTTCCATTGAAGATTCTAGCAAATTAGAACGATGAATTCGATGTATCTGGCATCCCGAAACAATGACTAAACGTTGCATTGACGAAGCCGTCTCCCGCCTTCGTTCTCACTCCTTCCACCAGCCGCAAAGACAGCAATACCATCGCCTATCAGGATGGGGCTGGATTATCTGCTATTGTCAGTGCATCGCCCTGGTGGTGGTAAGATGCGTGGTTTCGGCCCTCTTGGGCGGTGGTGGTGGCGGCCGTCTTTTGCCGGCGATTGCATTAACAATGTTCATGCTGCGATTTTCATCTGCGAACCTCACCGTCTGTCTGGCCGGGCTGGACGCGTATTCGACCGGTCCGTGGGGATCTGTCGCGTATACATTCTCATACAGATTATCCGCGCCATAATGTTCCTGTACCCAATTGGACACGTTGGTCTCCCTGTAGTCGGCCACGGCAGGCGGTGGATCTCGAAAACCGAGTACCTCGTGCGGTGTCGTCGTTGAATCTAACTTGCACTTCTGAGCAACTTGCCACTTCTTTCTCATCACTCTCTGGAGATCTTTGAGGAAATCGCCCGGCGGCGCCTGATCAGACGCTGCCAGCTTCTTCGGTGACGTAAGCCTGGTGCTGTCGGATCTTCTAGGCGGCGTCGGCTTCCGTTGCGGCAATGCGGGACTGCCGGGTTCCTGTTGGGGTGGCAGATTGAATGAGATCTTCTTGCCGGTTCCGGTCTTCGACTTGGGCGACGTCGGTGGTTCTTGGATAGTCACTCGTCGTTGCGGCTGTGGACTGGAGGCGGCCTTTAATTCGGCCAGATAAGGTGGTGCTGCGTAATGACCAGTTCCTTGTTTCATAGCACTGCGTCGGACGGTATCCATGTTGGGATTTGGCCTAATCGGCTGGATCGTGTTATGATGACCGGTCTGATATATCGATTCAACCTTGGAATTTTGCCGACCGAGACTCTGGGAATTGGTAAGTGGCGGTTGAGCACCATAAGCCGGCGGTGGTACGAAGGGTGGTGGCGTTGTGAAATTAGGCGAGTTTGGGGTGTAGGTCGGCGTACTTGCCGTCGATTCTGGATAGGAACTGTGCGGAGAGGATACGGAATTGGCGGTGTTGTTCGCATGAGCATTCGGGGACGCGTTCGAATTGTAATTCTGGACTGAGTTGCTGTTTAACGCGATACTATTTGTGTACATCTGATTGGCTTGTGACCTGGGGTTAGGATTATGCGTGGGTGTGCTCTCGGGAGTCACAGAGTTCGTAGGGGTGGACTGTTTGGGTCTAGCGCGACGTATCGTTCCGGTTTCGCCGACAAGCGGACTGGGCGGTGGCGGTAGAGACGCGAGACTCAACGAGGAACCCGTAAGCTCCGGCGTGTTGCAAACCGGAAGTTCACCGGGCGCTGGCGGCGGTGGCAGAGAGTCCAGCGAGAGATTCGATCGGAACATTTCGGGAGGTGGTGGCGGAAGTGGTTCGCTATCGGACTCAACTTCTTCGGCAACTCTCGACGGCGATGGTGGCGGTGGCAGCGAGGTAATCGAATCCATCTGTAGGATACAAATTTTTTTCGTTACATATCGAATATTAAATCCGTTCATATTAAATTCCTTAGTAATATCAATTACCATGCACGTTTGTATCGGACTCGTCGGCGTTTTCGATTCCTGACTCTCCGATCTGCTGTATCCCATAGGACTCGCTCTCTCTCTCACTGGCGTGCCAGGAGGTACTGGGCTGACTGGTGTCGCATTTCCAGATCTATGATGTCTTTTCAATGTTCCGGACCCGTCGGAATCAGTGCCACTTCGTCGACGACTGTGCCTTCTAGTCAGCGTACCGGATCCCGAACTTGTCGGGCTTGGACAGGAGTCTGGTTCATCTCGAACAGTTTCGCCGACCTCCTTCAATTGCCTCGTAATTGATGTAAGAGGCAATTTCGGATTCATAGACGGCTTCCGCTTTATCGTACCGGTTGGAAATTCACCGCATTCGAAGGCCACCTAACAATTAATATGCAAAAATTAAATAATTGTATCCGGTTAAATAATTATGATATAGCAATAGTAGTATGTAATAACAATATTTTTTAATGAATTTATTGTTAATACGAACATGAAATAGCGTTTAATTATATTCACCTCACAACTACTCGGTGCCCCGTCAGACAAACATCCACTGGAGCTAGAACTGCTCGCTCTGCTCAGCCTGCCTTCGTTGTTGTAGCTCTGCCGTTGTTCCGAATTATAACTCTGTCTTTGACCGTCGTATTGCCGCGTCGTAGCAACTGTCGTTTCGTTGCTGTGCCTTACGTTCTCCGCAAACTGTCTGGCGTTGTCATTTGTCGTATTATACTGGGTCTGATTTGGCGGTGCAGCAATTGAACTGACCGAGCACGATCTGGCGTGTGCCAGTAAGTCCAAATCCTCCTGTGCCAGCTCGTCCACGAGCGCCCGATAATTTTCCATTAGCTGCCTGCCGTATTTCGCCACGCGAATGCCAACCATCCATCGCTCCAAAGATGCATTATCTTCCGCGCAGAGGAATTTAATGTACTTGGTGGATTTGGGCTGTTGCAGTCGTGGATGCTTTACGGCGAAGCAAAAGTCGGTAGGCGCTTTGTATTTCTTTCGCCAGCCAACGCCGTAATAAACCTGGTTTACAATTAGCGAATCCTTTATAGAAATCGACTCCCATGATATTAATGGATGCAGGATTTTATAGTAAATAATAAGAAAAAGATCATATAATCTTATAAGATAAAAAAGGTATAATAGATGCACGATACTTGCGATTTATTAAAAATGATCGTAAGACAAGAATAGAATAAATAAAGCATATTTGAGATCAGTATTATATGATGTATCGCTGGTTGAGAAAGAGTATATAAAAATATAAACCTGATTAACGTCGAAGGTTGCCAGACAGACGAGGTCTCGAGCGGTGCGCGCCTTTTCCTTCGGCCAGTAATAAAGACCGGAGGCTCGTAAAATGAAGTGATACCTCTTCCAACCCTTCTTGCTGTCCGATTTCAAGTACAGCGGACCCTCGACCTGGAAGCAAATGGTAATCGATGCAGAGGAGAAGTGGAATATATGTCAACGAACTCGTTGCCGTCGTTCGGTTCGGTTGCCAAGACGCAATGAGATCGTAAACACGTCTCGCTTACCTCGGGTACGCCGACGTTGCTGCTTGAGAAGAACTCCTCTAATAGAATATTTCTCGAGTGGTCGTCATACTCGCCACCGCCGCGATCTGTGGGACCGAGAAGGAATCGCTCGGGTGTGAGGAATAGCTGTGTTTTATCCGGTCTTTCGACGAAAAGCAACTTATTTTTGGAATCCCTGGTCCATAGTAGAAGATTTTCCACTAATAATTCGTGATCCTCGTAAACCCTCTCTGAAAGTTTCATTAATATCTTATTATCTTATTGTTAGTCTGCAGGTTAACACCGATAGTAAAATAAAATCATTTCCTGAGGCTTACGATGTATTCCTTTCAGAAAAAGTTCCAATAATATAAAGGAAGAGAGTAAATATTATTCTCACTATTATGATATAATGACACTGAATGTCATTTAAAAGTGTGTAATATATTTATATTTATATATACCTTTAATATCACGTTGATAATTTTATAATATATTATATATAGAATTTATCTAATATTTCTTTTATTATTTTAAAAACCTTTTACATAAATATATATATATAAAAAAGGCATTTTAAGCAGTAGGAAATATCGATTAAAAATGAGGATGTCAACATTAAAAATTAATGTCGCGTGTAAATATTGTCTGTTTGAGAAGAAATGTTGCATCATTAGTCTAGCAATTAGCGGTCGGCAAATACAAGAATTATCTTCTATTAAGACTCACCCATGAACAGATCGGGCAAGTGTTCGACCACGGCCCACTTCGGATCCATTGGAACATGGTTTTTGTCTGCGAGCAACCTACACACATGCGCGACGCTCATCCCTTCGTCGACCAAGAGGCTTTTACCGCTGCCGTCCAGCGTAAACGCTTTGATGAAGAGCTTCTGTACGCTCGCTTCGCGCATCTTCTCCAGCGCCAGGCGGATTTTCTCTGCCTTCGCTTTGCTCGCAGTATCTGAAGAGATAATTACAAACAAAATTACTCAAGATACACAGACTGCTATAAATACAAATAAAAATAGAATAAGTAATACTAAGTGAAAATCGGCTGGAAATGCTCAACATTTAGCGTAAATAAACGAAGAAGGCTATATTCGGTCAAAGCGAGTCTTGAGACTGAATAATATTATATTTTTGTGTGAATATTTACAATTTCCAGTTCGAACAAACTGCGGGCCAATTATTTGTTGGCCTTGACAGTCCTAAACTGAAGCTAGAGGATATAATATTACAAGTTAAAAATAGAATGAGAAATAGAATACTTACCGTTCAAGTGGTTTAATCAAATAAAATGCGCATACGTAAAACAAACGAAAATTTAGAAAATCGAGATTTAGTATTTAAATTGATCTCAATTAATTAAAACGATTCAATCAGCATTCTAAAGTTATCGATCGCAAAATAAATTAAAGACTCACCGACAAACTGGTGCGATTGCTGCTGAGGAGCTGTGTGCATGGCGGTCTGAGGTGGCTTATGTCCGGAACCACTACTACTCGCCGAACTTTCGCTGGACAACATGGACACCGTGTCTGAGAACGCACTGTCATTATCAGGACTATCAGTGCGCATACCTATAACAAGATCAAACATAAACACAAAAAATAAAATATTTTAAACTTTACTATGTCTTACAAATAATATAATTTAGAAAATTATAAATGATATAATAATTGATAATATAAAGTAGGTTACTATATATAATTTAATCAATAAATCATTCAAATTGTGCTCACAATATGATTAATATGTCGTTAGAAAATTTCTTTGATATTCAAGCACGAACCTCCTTCATTTTTGATGTCAGTGTTGTCGCCTGGGTTGATTCTTGCGCTGGTGGGTCGTCCTGGCCTTTGTGAATCTGGTGCGGGAGTAGCGGCGATGTCCCCGTCGCAACGTCGCTCCAAGGCGCACAATTCACCGAGGATCGCATCCAGGTCGACATCCTGGGAATCTATAAAAAAGCGCGCATTGCATATTTTATATTAAAAGAAAATTAAAAAATACATTGTCACTCTGTACAAATATAGTAAAGAGCAGTACATAAAATTTTCACAGATTTTTAACATTGAATTATTAAATAAAAAACTATAATATATATTTACAAATTAAAAATTTATACGGCTTTCGAAATATTGTGACATCAAAACTCTTTAGCCTTCGTTTGTATATCTTCAATATACTCTGAGATTAATCATCATTAAATTTATATTTAGAAATATAGATTGATTACAGAATACAACGTTAAAATATTTTATTTCCCATTATTCGGTATCATCTTAAATCTGCATTATCTCTTTACAATTAATCAAAGATTTTTTCACGATTTCTCAGGAAACGGTGAACGTAAGTTCGAGTGCATCTCGTCTGTCGTTATACGCGTTTGCATCGTGCACACGTCATAATTACCACGTATCGCTATCAGTATGTGATAGCATGCATACACGGAGCTCCTCACAGCAATTAGCGAAATTAGCAGTCCGACAATTCAACCGAGTATCTCGCACGCGAATGTGCTGGTGTGTACAGCGTTACGTACATACTGCTCGAAAAAACGAGTATGGTAATCATCAAAATTCTACCAAGCTTTTTCAATCGCGTGATAACATTTTATCATTTGAAATCTACAAAAAAGATATTTTTATTTTCAAAACGGCTGATTAATTCATAGTGGAAATAATTATCGATAAATTGAAAACAAATGATGTTATACATCAACAGTATTATTTTAATTGAAAATAATTTTGTTAATTCAATAACACTATTAATGAAATAAATACGTAATGCTTTTGTTTTAATAAAATTTTGTTTGTTTCATTAATACTGTTTTGTGATTCAACAAAGTTATTATCCATTAAAATAATATATATCATTTTCTCAGTATGCAACGAAGGAAACAATTAGACTCGTACAGGGTCAATTTAAATATAAGAAAATTATGTAAACATTAAAATGTAATCGTAAAACTTGAAAATAAATAAGGAAGAATAATACAATCGAAAGAATTATTTTCAACTAAAACCGAAGCGAATTTAGTCGTACTTACTTCGCGGAATGTTTCATAATCACGCTGAATGTGAGTAGTAATATCAATTTGTACAATTCACGATAGGCGTGACACTTTGTTGCAAAAGAGCGAGCGAGGACACCGAAAACACCTCTCTTTTGCTTTGTTGATACCGCAAGTAAGTGTCAGGTCGCTACGAAAAAGTGCGGCGCGACGTTATTAATTGATAACGTGCGAATTAGTGTCAAGACTACTTTCATGATCAACGTAAAGTGACCATGGTGAGGCTGACAGTTTCTCAAGCTCATCAAGAAAATTATAAGCATACCACAGAATTTCTTTGTAATTTTATAACATTTATTAGCCGAGGTGATTTAATCGGAGAAAATTTACGTAATAGATCGTAAAACCAATAAAATGTTTAAAAACTATTATGAGAAAGCGCATATTATTGCAATTTCGATAACCTTCTTAATATAAAATAATATAAAATAAAATAATATTGTATTTTAATATATCAAATTATATTAAATTTAATATTGAGATAAACGATTATATTACTTCAGCGTTTCAATTTGATTTCTTGCTTTTCTTATTTAATCATTCAAACTTGATATAAAGCTATCAACAAACAATGGTAGTAATGCTTCTTGCTCTTTAACCATACGTTCTATTGCGTCTTAATGAAAACAGGCGATTGTATATGCGTATTCAATGTAGCATGCAGTTTTCTGCAACTTTTCACAACACGACTCCTTGACCGACGACGCCGCGCCGTGGTCGTCGGTGAGTGACGTGCACCCCGTGGAATGTGAACGATATCGCCGCGCGAATCGTTACGAGCGACGCAACGTTACCGCGAAACTGCCGACGTCGACGTTGCGAATGCGAAAGAGAAGCCGAGAAATCGCGCAAATGTTTATCATGCAGATTTGTGCGCTCGTCGTCCGCCTCGAATTTCTCACGCGTTGCTTGACGGATTCGCGTTGTCCGCGATGGAAAAGTTCCCTTCGAGGGAACTTCGAATTAATAACGGAATGTAATTCCAGTTGATTTGCATTGCATAAACGCAAATTTGTCATGAATATAGAAAAAGTTTCTTATTTCAAAATAATGTACGAATTAAAATTAATATCAATTTAATCCATTTTAATTTGCATCTTCGTTAAATACACACGAACGATGTATGCAGCTGTCACACTTAAAGTTATATCAGATAATCTTTCTAGTCTTTTTGCATTCGTGACGCATATATTAAGACAGTGAAGTTGCAATCGCGTTGTATTGTAAGACCAAGCTGTAAATGTGTCGGCTTTGGAGAATTAATAAGATTGCAGATGATATGTATACGCGGAGAATTCGCATCGCGGTGCAGCGTTCCTCAAAACGAGTTACGAGGCGCGGTGAATGAAAATGAAACCGGTGTATATGTATGTGTGTGTTCCGCACTTTCCACAGGCGCGAACAACGCAAGTTGCGAGTTGCACCCGGCGACTACCGTTACGGCAAAATTACGTACGCTGCATCGTGACTTTGTCGTGGTGTGCAAACACCTCGACGTAGATAAACCTAACCGGTCATTCGCATTCGGAGGACAACATGGATGGGAACATGTGAGTCACGGCTTTCTTGAGTCCTCTTTTAACATCTTTCATCGAGTGTCTCATCGATCGTTCTCGATGGGAAAAAAAGAGAAGCGTATGAAACCCGCAAGGAAAATTTTTATCCGGCATTTAACAGTTAAAAAAAATAGACTTTAAAAGAAGAAAATGCTGAAGTGCAAAAAAGTATGCATTTTTCTTTAATAATGGAGCCAACTTTCCGTTAAGAAGTGACTAATTTGAATTGATAATAAAGGAATTATGCAAATTTTTTTATAAGTAATCTGCCGGAGTGTAAAGAGTGCGAAATTGTGTTTTAACTTCAGGCAAAGTTCGCTTGGGGAAAATTTAAGTCGTGGCTTAATTGCCAAGATTCACCATAGAAGGCGAACCGTTCTAGATAATCACAGAATACATTCTCAACTTGACGCTGCATTCGTGTAAAATACAGAAAGTATAGATAGTAATAATTTCGATTTCTTTCCCAATTATACGTCCATTACCAAGAATTTTCATTATTTTCTTTCCTTTGTTTTTCTTATCTTATTAAATAAAAATTGAATGAAAATATGCAAATTATACAGATTGAGAAAGTTAAATGAAAAAAATTTCAAACTGTATAATGTCTTTTATAAGCAAATTTTTGTTCTTTTAAAGGGCATTGAACTTAGTTCATGGACTTTGTCATGCTATTTAAAATGTTCCGTAATCGTTTTCATGGCGATAAGATGTAACTCTTGTCGTTTTTTAGGTTTGTTTACACGGTAATATTTGTAGTAGCAGTTTGCACAAAACGAATATACATTCAGAGAGTGTATCGATCTCCTTTTCTACGATATAATACGAGGGTAAAGAAAAATGGGAACTAAAGGATTGGGGAAAGGCACAATGCCGGCTTTTACGACGAGTCTCGTGGCCATTATCAGAAGGGGTCGTCGGAAAAAGATAAATGCTGAGTAAACACGGGAATGGTCGTATCTGTCAGATTTACCTTATATGTACATATTCCGTGCAGAAAGACGAATAAATAACGTAATAAAAGAGAATTATATAGTTATGGTTAATCTATAATCTGTACGAGTTTAATATATATTCTAAAAAGTCTCTGTGAAATTTAGAGTTAAAAAATTTATAAAAGACTTGTCGCAGAATAAATTAACATTTCAAAGTTATGAAAACTAAGTTAACTATTAATCCCGAGAGCTTTCATACAAACTGCACCTTTTAGACTTCATTATATAAGCCTGCGAAAAAAGAGATTAAATGCTTACAATTATGAAAAATGCATTTTTAATCTAAAATGGCTTAGGTTTTAATTTAATCACGAAGAGATTATATATCACTGTGGGAAAAGTAATTAAAGTAATGAAAGTTTTAGCTGGTTCTATTAAGAATTAAAGGATTATATGGTAGTTCTGAGTTACGTCCCAACATTGCATTGTCGAGATTCGCTTTAAAAAATAAATAGTTTCATTTAAAATTCATGTTGTAAAATTCATATTGAAACATTTCGATTATGTGTAAATGCAAATAGTTATAAAGATAAATATATAAACGGAGTAAAATAAAATAATAATCATTTTGGTTAAATCTATTGCTTCTGCTGTAACAAGAATTATTCTAAAAGGCAACTTTTCACTGGCTTTCTAAGTCGAAATAAATTATACCACATAGCGTAAGTGTGACTCGACTCGCCGCTAATTTACGAATTCTCGTCACACGGGTGCTAAATTGCTGTAAATTTAGTCGAGCACATTGTCGTGGCACGTTGTCAGAAAGTTGGGCTTTCCTTCGATCTGCATCAATTCTTACTGCTTATTGAGCATAATAATAAATTTTTACGATGCTAATATGTCAAATTTAATTTAATTTAATTTAATTCTCGCCATTATAATTAAGACAACTGATGTGGAGTCTTATCGACATTGCAGCCGATGAGACAAGAAACATCGTTATATATAATTTTATTACTAAAATTATCACTACATTCTTTGCTTACTTCGACAGTATATCACATTTTTGTTAAGAACTCCAAGAATCTGTTGCAAGTCGATTATTAATATTTTTTTCATTTGTTTCAAAATTTTATTATTGATGTAAATTCGAAGAAAACTTTGTCTGTACCTTTGACTGTGAGGTAGCCCAATATGCTCTCGTTGCTACCAAAATGCCCGAGCATCTTCCACCCTGCCAAACGAGGCGTCGATTCTCTCGAGTACAATCTCGTTTCCCTTGCGATCGCCAATTAGCATCGTACTCCGATGAGCCTCTCGTCAGAGCGAAAGAGCATCGTCACCCAATCATCACCACGAGCGATCACAACGTCCGCGTTTTGCATAATCACTT